ATTTTCTAATCATTTCAACATATTTGCCTGTTCATTTATCTTTTTAATATTTTTTTTAAATTGTAAAGACACTTTATAGACACCGGGTACTTTTAAAAAATCGTATTTTTTATACTTTTTGTTTTTATTGTTGTTATTGAAAAAATTTTCGTCGGAAAAAATTCGCACTCTCCTAATGAAACGCTATTCTAAAGATTTACTTGGTAGATGGAATGCTTGTAGCTTTCATCCATTATCAGTAACATGCGTTCAAACCTGTGTAAAATACTGATTTTTCATAACAGGTAGGCAGGACCACCCCCCCAATTTAAAACTGGCACAAAACAATCCTCCCGCTTTCATTCTCCCTATTTTTCGTTTTACCGTACAAATTTGAACTTAGTAAATACTAAGAAACTCTTGTGATCTGATAGGATGTCGAACTTAAGAAATAGTGGTAAAATAAAGAACATGATTATGTAAAGGAAATATCCTTGTAGCGGTACATGGCGTTGCAGAGTTGCTTCCCTTGGTCTAAAACTGGTGGTTCATCCGTTTAAGAGCTGGATTACTTTAATGTTTTGTTGCTGTACGTGGCAGGGACAAGGTTGGAAGAAGCACTACCACATTAAGAACAAGATTTAGTGAATGTAAGGAAAATGGTATGTTTATGTAGGCGTTCTGAAAGCAAAGGAAATATTTGTTGTAGATTTCTTCCACGACACAGAGAATAAATCACTGTAAGTTCAGACTCGAATATCGGAGGCAGAAAGAAAGGCCGAAAACTCGATTCGCAGGTACTATCTCACAAATCACAATGCATGTAACCAGTCAGAAAAATAAGTCACTCTCCGACGAACGCGGTAGCCAAGATACACTATTTTTTTCTCTCCGATTCGAGAAAACCAACTGATTTTATCGACCGAACATTTTTTCCATTCGTCAACGACTGGGAGAGGACGCCCAATTTTTGCATATCAAAAAACTTTTACAGCGACTCCTGCGACGAACTTCTTTTTTAATTTAAATATTCCGTCTTCAGCATGTCATCCGGAATACGTGCCCTTTTTTGTGGGGTAAGTAATTTTCTTTTTCGCCACATTTTCCATCGTAGGATACACGCGACACGCTGTCGCTTGGTATGACGAGGTAAGTCGCCGTTTTCTTCTCTATAGTTTATTCATTTGTCTTACTTGGTGCTGAAATGTCCTGTATTTCTTGTATTTTTCTTATGGATATTAAATAAAACTGTTAACGAAGCATTTTATACACTTTCTGATAGTTTATATTTAATGGCTTCTTGATATTTAACATCAGGTAGGTGACTTCTTTTGTATTGTTTTTTTTTTTTTGTACGTTTAAAATATGGGTTTTACTTACAGCTTTAAGTAGAGACAAAACTGACAAATTGCTTGTTTTATCAAATGAGAGTCTCGAAAAAGAGAAGTAAATATGCCTCTGGATAACACGAATCAATTTGACTTAGACTATGAATTTAACCGTGCAAGAATCGTTAATATTTAAAACTTGAACACATGGCACGTCTATAAAATACGTCAAATCGCCTAATATCTAGCCTTGGGAAATGTGTTCTAGTTGCCCCGGTTGTATAGAACTCACGGGGTGAAGTATGTTTTTACTGTCAAAATAGGAATCATTTTTCAAAACATTAGATGAAAGGTCAGTGCAAAAGCCGGCCGCCTTAGAGACAGGAGCAAAGTAAAAGAAATCGAGGTGTTAACTATCCTCCATTATGCAAAACAAACTGTGGTCTACCGAAACCTTAAGCTGGAGATAAATCGGATTTCTTACCTGATTGAAATTGAGACCGGTTGTTTATCATCCTCGATAAATGAAAAACAATTTATTAAACTACCTAACGCGGATCACCATCAACGGAGCAGAGTCCAAAAGTTAAGTACATATTCGGTTGAGGTCAATCTACCTCGGGGGGTCGGGATGTGGATGATTTAACCCTGCGGAAATAGCAAGGTTGTTTTTGGCTGTAAAAACCTGAGCTGGAGAAATTATATGATGATTTGGAAATAATGGAATCGAGAACAAATTGCTACGCACCGGTTGAAGCAACATGTCAAAACTATTAGTCAGAGGACCCCGTGTACAGTGATTGATTGCTTTTGCTTAAAGTTTTGATAGAGAACCAAAATGGCGCAAAAAAGTCAGAGACGACTACAATGCTTGAAAGAGTCAAGTTGCCTGGCCGGATTCCCTTGTGTGTCAAGCCAGAACTTGATATCGGACAACCAGTTGCGAAAAAGATTCTATGACTAGTGTTACTTGTAAAATAAAGTAAGAAAAAGGTAATTCTCCATCATAGTGCTGGGGATTGAAGAATTGAAGTCAGAGACAACACGAATCGCTCTTCTCTATAGATGGTAAACATGTGTACGGACATATATATATATTGGTACCTCCACGAGATCGCTAAAAAAGAGCATAGCATGATGAAAAAGACGCCAAACTTGACGAAAACAAAATTTTATCGTCTACATATTTATGT